ACAGGGGTCTGAATGCCGTCACTCTGAAGAATGTCGAACCACTGCCCCATATAGATGATCTGTTACATCGGGTGCAGGGTTGCAAGTATTTCTGAAAGATAGATTTGAAGTTTGGTTATCATCAGATAGAGGTCCACCGGGACGTCCAGTATAAGACAACATTTAAGACCAGATATGGGCACTATGAGTTTATAGTGATGCCCTTTGGACTAACCAAGGCGCCAGAGACGTTTCAACGCTGAATGAACGATTTGTTTAGGTCATGTTTGATAGGTTTGTAGTAGTATACCTAGATGACATTCTAGTTCTTAGTGAGACCCTCCAGGAGCATGACGGCCATTTGAAGAAGATCTTGGAGAAGCTAAGAGAAACTAACTTCAAAATCAACGCGAAGAAGTGCAAGTGGGCCAAGACACAAGTTTTGTACTTGAGCTATGTCTTAGATGAAGATGGCATCAAACCTGAGGACAGTAAGATAGCAGTGATTAGAGATTGGTTGACGCCCCTCACATTCATAGAGTTGCGGTCGTTTCTAGGACCAATTACTACAGAAATCTCGTCAGAAACCTTTCCACTATCGTCGCACCCCTTCGCAACTGGGAGTGGGATAAACATTGTACGTCGGGCCTGAAGAAGTTAAACAGGTTTTGATAGAGTATCGAGTCCTCAAGGGAGCCGATTTATCATCACCTTTCGTTGTCACCACTGATGCGAGTCAGTATGGTATAGGTTTTGTCTTACAGCAAGATGGTGGTAATGGGTATAGACCCGTAGAGTTCATGTCTGCTAGAATGCCTTCAGAGAAGGTAGCGACATCCACCTATGAAAAGGAACTCCACGCTCTCATGCATGCGCTAGACCACTGGAAGCACTACTTGCTTGGGAGACACTTTAAAGTGTATTCAGACCTCGAGACGTTGAGTTGGTTTAAAACGCAGGCCAAGATGACACCTAAGCTTACGAGCTGGGCCGCAGAGATAGGCCAGTTTGACTTTGAGCTCAAGCCAATTAAAAGGAAGTATAATGTAGTCGCGAACGCTCTAAGTAGGAAAACTGATTACTTTGGAGCTATAGTTCCCTATTTGGATATGGGGAGAGACCTGCAACAGAAAGTCAAGGAAGCGTATGCGCAGGACCCTATCTGTAGCGATCTCCTCAAAAGAGTTAAAGAGGCTCTAGAGACCGAACCAGATTACCGCACTTCAGACGGGTTGTTATTTGGGAAGACTAGTGTAGCCGATCGTTTATGCGTTCCCAACACTGAACAGATCTGTAGTCTGATCTTAGGGGAATGCCATGACACATAGGGACATTTTGGTTGGTAGAAGACGTTAGCTAACCTTATTCACGGGTATACGCGGCCTCGTATGAAGGCCGACTTGCATAGAGTATCTACGCAGTTGCTAGGTGTGCCAACGGAATAAAACCACTACGCGAGCCCCTCTTGGTCTTCTCATACCACTGCCTATTCCCGCAGGACCCGGAGATTCTGTGTCTATTGACTTTATGGATATTGGGGTCGGGAGTACGCATGGCAAGAGCCAAGTCATGGTTATGGTTGACAAATTTAGTACGTATGCAATGTTTGTTCCTATGCCCGCAGAGGCACGTACAAATTTAGTTTCTTTGATCATTGGGTCAGTGAACATGGTCTCCCACTGTCGATAGTTAGTGACAGAGATACCAGGTTCACTAGTCAGAACTGGCAGGGGCTGATGAGAGTTTATGACTCTTAAGTTGTTGATGTCGTTTGGCCTTCATCAAGAGACTAACGGATAGACTGACCAGATGAACAAAATCCTGCAGCAAGTTCTCAGAATGTATATTAGAACCAATCAAGTCAACTGGATGAGATGCTTCCCAAGGTAGCCACCGCATACAACAACAGCGTGCACTTAGCAACCTGTCTCACTCCCAATGAGTTGCATAAGTCCTTTAGACCACGTAGAACATTTGATGGACTGAGCCGGGATCAGATTTAGGCTACCGCCTGGTACTAGGGAGTTTGCACTACAGTATGAGAAAGAGATTGCTACCGTCACGAAGAACCTCAGGAAGGCCTAACACAGGATGATCGAGCAAGCTAACAAACACAGTCGCCCATCACAGTTCCAAGTAGGCGACTTAGTCTGGATCAAGTCTAAAGAGTTTGCTCCTGCGGAGAACATATCGCAGAAGCTATTGCCTGCATATTGAGGACCGTGGCCAGTCCTAGAAGTCAAGGACGGAGAGGATGGACCATCCTACACAATTGAGATTCCAGCACACCTCCATACATATCCAGTTTTTCACGCATTGAAGTTGTTACCTTGCAGGACAAGTCAGCAGTTTCCGTCGAGAAGGTCGATGATTCCTCCAGACATGGACGGAAGGCACGAAATTGATCGTGTAGTTGATGAGGATGTGTCCAGAACAGGAGGTAAAGGTCGTCCACAAAAACAAGTATAAAGTCAGATTCTTTTTCCAAGAACTAGAAGACGAACCCTGGTTTACACGGACAGAGCTTCTAGAGACCGCTCCGATATAGTTCGAGCCTACGAGAGAGTCAGATTCTTTTTTCAAGAACTAGAAGACGAACCCTGGTTTACACGGACAGAGCTCCAAGGGAAAGGTCCTACCTTGGACTAAAGTATTATCGGAGGACCTCAAATTTAGGCTCGTGGGAGTGATACGGTTTTCACCTTTGCAGTAGCAGATGCAGATCCCAGGGCTCAATCCATAGACCTCAACTCACCCATGTACAGTACCCGTGTGTTTGAACCGGTGACCTGCGTTTTAGGAGTCAGTTGTTGTATGTCGTAGGTTGATGTAGCTGTCGAGTCTTGAACCATAGGTCTGTCGAGTAGGGGTCATAGTTGTGTAGAGGCCGTAGCTGTAGTAATTCTGAAAGGTCAAGGTCGTAGCCTGCTACAGTCCTGAAAGGTCAAGGTCGTAGCTGCTACAGTTCCGAAAGGTCAAGTCCGCAGGCTTCCGGAAGGTTGGGAAGTGGCCTTTCGAATGTTGTTCACAGCAGACCAGAGGCAAGTGGGCAAATGGTAAGTCCAACCTTGCTTAGTCAGTGGTACCCCGTCCCAGTCTCACTTAGTCCAGTCAGCAAGTACCATGTGGGACTGTGTGCACCAAGGGCCCAGTGGAAAGAGGGCAGACCAGCGACCAACAGAAGTATAAATAATGAGGCAGCGTCCAGCCATTCATCCATTCCTGTCTGAGCCATGCGGAAGCGCTGCCCAGGCGTCTTCTGCGAGGTGGTCTGCAGAGGCCCGAAGTCGAAGTGGGCTGTGAAGAAGAAAGAGAGAGTCCATAGTTAGTAGTAGACAGCGGCCATAGCCGCCCTAGGTTAGAGATAGCTGTGAATGTGTATGTAAGCGTGTGTAAAGTACCGAGGAAGTGTGTGGGGTTAAGTGCGTGTGAACAGTTGATGTAAATACTAAGTTCATGTATGGAGTGAAGGCACTCAGTCGCCATAGCCAATCTAAAGCAAATTTGTATCTGAGTTGTGTGGGCGCCCAGCGCCAGTGAGATTTGCCAGCTGTTTACATCCATGCGAAGTGGAGAAGATAACGCGTCTGATTTCACTCCTCACCAGTTTCTGGTTTTCATTCTCAATGCTTTTACTTTCGGATACCCCAAACCCAAACAGAAACTCATATAAGAAATACAAAGAGTACACTATAAAAGAGTAATTTCATATTTTTTAGTTGTATGTATACAACTAAAAAATATGAAATTACTCTAAATATATCACTTAAATTCCTATTAGAGTTTTCTGGTCAGTCTTCTCTTCGCATACGCATCGCTGCGCTCCCCTGCAACACCCACTGGCAAAGTTGCAATTTTCGCCGTTCCTATGACCTTCCAAGTTCCTCGGGTCGTCAACTCAAATATTTCCAATCCCCAACCTTTGTGTGTACCTTCTTGAACCCCTCCCCATCCTACAGTTATGGCCGCTCTATTCTTTATAAACACCAATTTCCATTGACTGTTTTCCTATTCCCTTTTCAAGTTTGAACCCACCAGTGGCGGCCAGCATGCCACTGCAACTTTCAGGGCTCAGCCTCCAGAGGGAAAGGGTGGTGGAGGGCGTTTCCAGACCCCAAAATAAGTGCCTCGGAAGTATTAGTGGTTTAAAAGCATTTCCACTCGAGTGACGGTTCTAGTGGTTTAAAAGCATTTCCACTTGAGTAATGGTTTCTACAACTTCCTCAACATAAGGACCCCTTCTTAAGTTAGTCCCCACTGAACTGAAATCCACCACTAGTTAAAGCCCCATTTCTAGGAAATGAGCCCCTCTCTGCAGAGGACCCTTTTAGATTTATCAACCATTGTTCAGCTTGCCAATCGGCCTTTGTATACCCCAATCGTACCCTACATTCAAAGAAATTAATGTCATCAAACCTTAGCCTTATTCCTTCTCCCATCTCTGTCGACTCCCTCATGACTACTTAATGATGCATAAAATTCACAAATCTCTTATCACTTTCATTTCTCACCATCTTTTCAAGACTTATGACGTATTCACCCTGTACTCACTCAATACATCAATATTTTAACTGGCCAGTGGTCATTTTGGTTCTTCCATCGCTCACAGCCTCAATACACAACTTTGATATGCTTGCCTACACTGGTTTACCTTTGCGCTTCAAGCTGGATTTTTTTCTCCTTTGAACCCCACAAAGATGATGCTAGTGCGATCGAAAGCAACATACAGTCTTGTATGTCTATCTATTTTGCATATGCCTATTTAAAATCTGCAAACCACTTACCTCCCATGAATATTACGCCGTCATCATTCCAATCTCAAAGATCCCTTTCAGTTGTGCTTCCTTCCATCCACAATTGCAAACCTCCAACCAGAGTCTTCATATCCTTTCAAAGTCTCGATCGGTCACTTACTTTGAGCTCGGTTGTCAGTAACACACTTAGTTCCCATCAGCTGACACACTCCCCAATATGTCCTCTCCTTGTAACTCCCAACTCCTGTTAACTGCTTCATGCAACATTCCTTGTAAGGCACTTTGTTAGAAGTTTGAGAAAAACCATGGAGATTGAGATGATGATGAGGTGTGTGGCGGGGCCAAACGATGAATATCACTTCATATCAGCGTGTGATTGGATCATCATTGAATATCTACTATTGGAGGACCAGTGAAGGCCAAACGATGGAAGGAACCGGTGATGGAAAACGTCACACAAAGCAACAAGGAAAAGATCATGCTCCTTCCAATCCTACCACGTGGCGACCATTCAAAAATGGAAGTGTCCTTGCTAAGGCATGAAAAAAATAAAAATCCAAAACAACTCTGAAAAAGAGAACTCGAAATTATTTCTGACGCCCTTTGGGACATCCCTCAAAATCGGAACGACACAGAGATTAGTGTGGCCACTGCACAAGGATCACACGCATAAATCAAGAAATGGTCCCCAAAAAAGACAACAAAGCTGACAAAATGCATCAGAATGGGAGCCCCAAAACTGCAGAAGTACACAAACCCTGATTACGACAAAGAAAACGAAGGGGTGCCCCTGAAAAAAAAACAAAAAAAAAAAAAGGGTGCAAAAATCACACTCTCCCTAGATCATCACATCCTTGCCCGCTTGCTTGCACTGTGGATGCTTGCTTGGTTGCCTTACCACTCTGCTACTTCCCTTGTGCTGAGTTGCTACCCTGCTGTTTGCCCTTGAAAGCAAAAAACAACCTACATTGAGAATTCGATGTTTGCTGCTGTACTTTCCGCATTACTGCACGTACTGTGTCTGGGCAAGAACCCCCTGATTAGTACCTCAAAGGCTCAAACTACCTCTCCATCTTAGCAAGGCAATGTTTCAGGATCTGACCCCAACTTCTGAACTTCTTCCTTAAACCGCCAGTACACGCCCCCAGCCTTGTGGAGATATACTTGTCACCCACTCTGAAAATATTGCACCCCGCGCCTACCAGACCACAATGGCTGGCAGTGCCAGCCAAAAAAGGAAAAAGTGCCCCACGGTTCGAAAAAGCTTGGCATGGAACCACCTTGGCCCTGGGTGTACTGGTGCATTAAACCACCAGTATGAAATTACTATGAAAGCCCTCAGCTGACACTTCCACTGAAAGGATCGGCCAACCAGACCGGAGCGATGGCACTGCAGGGAGGCCACGGTCGGAAAAAATTTCGGCTGGACAATGTAGAGTCCACTGTATTGGTGGTTTGAACTTGAAACCATCAGTACCCTGCCCAGCTATCGATGGCACCATGCCGGTTAACCGAGGCTGTGGTGAGGTTGGGCCTACAGGAGGTGCACCGTGCCAGGGAAGGGCCACAAAACGTTGAGAGCACCCATTTCTGACTCTCATCCCCTCTAATTAAAAAACAATTTGAAAAAACAATATGATCCATTCTTTATTACAGATTGGACCCGGGCCCTCACAGTCTTCCCAGATAGAAGTACTGGGACCATTACCCACCTGGACGCGGGGTGCGTGTCGCTCTACCCACATCTTCTAGGGGCATTTTGGCATTTATCTTAACTTCAAAAAAAACGAGGCTACAGAGTGGCCAGGGACCACTTGCCCGGCCGGGCCAAAACAAATCAAAATTCAAAAGTTTTAAAATTATATATATCTTCACAAATAGAACTGCCCGGTAAACCGTAGGCAGAGAGAGAGAAGAGGACAACAAACGAGGGGCTGTGACAAACTGTTTCGTTGGAGTTTCACCGACTCGTCATTGTATTGGCAAGGAATTTCGATGTGACCCTGAGGCAAAAGTTGATAGCGGGTCTCGCGTAACACTCCCGCGAGAACCCGCATCCAGTGTTGGGAAACGTCGCGGGACAGTTAGCCGCGGGCCCAACGAGGATCCTCCCAGTCGTTCAGGGCAGGCCAGTCGTCCGGCCCGATAGAACATTCGGGAATCTGACGGCCGGATTCCCGAGAACTCTATCGGGCCGCTCATTTGCTTTGGCCGTCGGGTTGGCAGCCCGCTCATTCCGTTCGGCCACCTCGGCGCTTCGCTCGCTGATGATCGACGTTCGCTTCACTCGCGAGACACACACACACACACAGAGAGAGAGAGAGAGAGAGAGAGAGAGAGAGAGAGAGAGAGAGAGAGAGAGAGAGAGAGAGAG